TTTAACATCTTTTATTATTGATTGTTAAGGTCTGTGATGGGGTGGGCGGGAGAAGGGGGGGGGGGGAGCCCTAAAAACTCGAACTTAAAACTTACACTCACTATTTTCTTCGAAAATATATGTGAGTTCCACAAAATGCTTTTAACGATATTTTTTGAACAGTATGGAACAACAACAAAATAGTTCATATAGTGAAGATAAAAACAACTAAAGAAATTCATGTCTCATTTTCAGTGTTACCTTGTGAATTTTGTGGTAGTTTTTTGACAGAACTGTGCCTCTTGGCATGCTGTTTGTGTGCTCCAAAGATGAAGTCATTTGCTTGAGTATTCGAGTATCTAGACCTATGACAACATCTGTATCTTTAGCACAGCACCATTTCCCTCTAGTAGGTGTTATAGGCCTGAAAATTTCAGAAAACGCTGCGCATCTAAGGAGTATTCTATGCTGTAAATTTGAGATCTGTATGTCAATCCTACGCTGAGTTCTGAATAACACACTGAGAACTGATGGTTTTTGACATCACCTATATCTATAGTAAAATGAACCTAGTTTCACAACGACTCGATGGACTTTGATGACATTTTTACCAGAGATAGCCAATTCACAAGGCTTTGAAATGATGAAACTCCCAGATCAAAAACTCTCGTTGTTCTCAAGTTATAGAGTCCACAATGGCGATAGACCGCTTGCCGAATAACTTTCTTCTTACCCATTCTTTAGGGATGCGAGTTTCACCACTGATCTACATTTATTGAGAACCATGTATACTCCAATTTTCAGCTCAATAGCTTGCATAGTAGTCGAGATCCAAGGGGAGGGGAATACTTTTGTCGGGTACTGTATTTGTGTATACTGACCTGTACATCTATCATCGTTTTATCTCTAATTTCGATTTGCATATCTTCCGGCAGGGTGCAGACAATACCCACACTCACTCAAACTCTCAGTTCTTCAGTTGGACTAGATTACATCTTTACTAAAACACAAACAAGATAAGTTAATTTGTCATAAAGAAAAGTTGTATTTTGGCATATCTACAAGTGATTTTATATCTCAGTAGATCGTTTTCTTCATCGAATTACATGAGTTGTTTATCAATACAAAAACGTTCTGAAGTACATAATGACAACATAAAATTAATATCTATGTAATGAATGATTCAATCGTAAAAAGTTCAGAATTGATGTTAACAGCTTGTTCGCAGTGTTTTACTGATGTATCATCTGATTCAATGTATTTTCTTTCTTGTGCTTCGAATTTTTGTTTACGACAAAACAGATACATCATCAATCGCCCTCCAGCTGTTTGCCACATGAAATTTATATAATCTGTTGAAGGTAGTATATAAATTAAAAATGTCACAGCTTGTGGAATAAAAATAAATAAATTCAGAGCGATATGTAGATGAAGAAAGCTTCGCTGTGATGATTCAATACAATGATACATTAAATGTGCAAATATAAAATGTGGTAAACAGCAAACGATAATCAATATTGGTGGTATTAAATACAATCGTTTATCCTTTAGTCCATCAAGTGATAATTTACAATATGACGAGCTGCCTTGTTCATGACCTAGTCGCCAGAGTGTAATTATGAAGCAAACAAAATGTATAAAGCATGGTAATGCTAAATGCAATGTGGATAACGAATCATCAAGTGTATTCAACCATTTTTTGTCATAATCGAATGTACACACGAAAGTATTAGGCTGAACAGGATCTGGTAATGCTTGTCGTCCAAATATTTCATGAATATGTGTGCTAAAAACGGTAACAGTCATGATGATCATGATTATTACAGTACGTATTTGTGCTCGGGTATTCATGACTTCAATATTGAAGACATCGAACAATAGTCGTTCAAGTGTAATCCCTGCACTTAACCATAATCCCAAATGAACTAGCATTGTACCAACAACCGGTGCAATATTACATGAATAAAATGTGTAACCAGCGGAGGAATATTGATCAAATAACATTAATATGACACGTGATTGTAATTCTAAGGAAACAATCAAAGACGACACAGAGTATAATATCAAAAAAAGAATATTATCTCCACGAATAGAAGGACGTGTTTTATCTCTCACATCACGTAATAAAAAAACTTGTAAGCTAAGCATATTACTAATAATAGAAACCAGTACTATGAGACTAACTATGAACACAAAAACTGCTTTTTTGGCGGTTCTCTCCGATTGTTTGTCAGTAATTCGAATATCAGCTAACACAGCTGATGTAAGTGATAATGGAATGATGTTATCCTTGAGTTGGCATCGATCACCTTTGAAACATTTTTGACATTGACATGCAAAATCAATATTCGAGTTTGTACCATTACTACCGTTCAGCATGTAGCATTGACCATTATAATGACAAAAATCATTCGTGCATACGTCATGTGCCGATATACAAGTGGCGGAAAGAAGAAACAAGTACCAAACAATCATCACAACAGTTACGTATGTTTATTCTAGAAAGATGAAAGTACACCGAAAATAATCACATATATGAAATAATTCGAATTTTGGAGTGTGGCTGTGAGTCTTTTCTCCGCTTATATTCAATCTATTCCATACAACGGCAGTTATATTCACACCCATAAATCTTTATGTGATAAGAATAACTACAGTATTTGGACTTTTTCTATTCTATTTTGAGATCATAATGTAATATTAAATATGGGGGTGGCCAACTTGACTGATACCCCGTTTTGAATCAGCCCTATTGTAAGGATAAAACCTATTATTGTCCTGGCCATATAAGAGAGGATCCTATATAATCCTGGATTGGCCCGAACNGATTATTCTGTAGCAAAATCAAGATTATAAATCGGTCAATAATTTCGATTGTGCTGCAAAATAATCCGATCTTAATCAGAAAATTTTACACTGGATAAGCAACAATATCAAATAATATTTAAGTCATGATCAACAATAATCAAAATTATCAATCGATTTTAATTTTGATTTTGTTGCACAAAAATCCGATTGAAAATCGCGAAAATTTTTCACTGGGTACAAGGTGAAGTCGTTTTTTCTTCTTTCATCTTCTTATTTCATAATATGCTGCATTAAAAACAAAATATACCAAAAGATGCAGCACGAAAAAGTCTACAGTTTACAAAGAATAAATTATAAAAGGAGGAAATACGAAAAAACGAAGTCATCTTGTACTAAGAAGTATATCATTTTTGCACGGTCGAAATTTGATCGCTCAAAACTTTGATCATTTTGAAAATAAAAGGTACAACTATAAAATAGACGGTCTTATGTAAATTGTAGAGCTTTTCATGCGGCATCTTTTGGTATATTTTGGTTTTTCAATAGGACGAATTAAGTGATGAAAAAATGGGATGCGAAATGCCACCATTCATTATGTTCAACCGTTATTTTTTTGCAGCTTTTTGTATGCCTTTATTTTTCATCTTTTTCAAATATATCTAAAGTAGTTTTAGGATCTAGTTAGATGTAGTTTTGTAGAGTTTTTCAATCGCTATCTTTTGATAAAAATGTGATTTAATCAAGAGGATAATTGAGGAGAAATCTGAAAAATAGAAAGATGGTAATCATTTATGGTACACCAGTTAGTTCCCATCCGTATCTTAATCAAATCCTCACGATAAAAATATATTTCTATAAAACTAATGATATATTCTGAATGCATGTGGAGTTCTCTATTATCCTATATATTTTCATTTTCATTTGCACTTACATGGTACAAAATAAATCGAGTGCAATGAAATCACCCTCACCACAAGATTCTCGCAGACTGCATGTTGTCATTGTCATTATAATTAGTTTTTTAAACTTTCTATTACAGTAGAAATATCTTTCTAAAAAAGCAGTTACTTAATCTGGTAGCACTCGGAATTCTCTACCTTTCAATATATTTCTCTAGTGTCTTAGATTCATTGATTGTGAAAATAATTTAAATACGATCGATACACCCTAAACTGGCAAGTAAGAAAATACCCTATTTTTGATACTATTTCAAATCATAGTTATTATGAAAGAAACTTCTACAAAAGTAATTATGCATTTTAATAAAGCTTCATATTCTCTGTCATTTCATATGATTTTATCTCTACTTGCATTTGTGTTCTGAAAAATAATTCGGATAGTTTGTAGATGCTGTTTCTGGAAAACCCTGAAAAACTAGATTTTCTCATGCCAATGTCCTCTTTTCTTTCAAGTTTAGTATAAACATAGATATGGTCTTTCGAAAAAGTAATTGTATGTTCTGGAAATTCTTTCCATCTTCGATCATTCTAAACTTTTCATATAAAAGAAGAATGATAAAGTTGAAAAATCCAGTATCTTTACAGTTTGTCAAAGAACTTGTCTACATGATTCTAGTATTATTCCCCAGAACATAGATAAAAGATAAGACAAAAATATATTGAATGATCACAAACTAGGAGCTCTATCAGAATGCATAGATGTTTTCTTAAAAATAGATTTTCACAATATCTATAACTAAACACAGAAAACTAGAAAAGCGGCAGAAAAACACAGATTTCTCGTACTTGTCAATCGAGGATATCTGAATCGTACTGAAATCATTTCCAGAATGAATGAATCCAAGACACTAGAGAAATATATTGAAAGGTAGAAAATTTCAAGCGTTACCAGATTATCTAGTTGCTTTTTTAGAAGGATATTTCTACTGTAATAAAAAATTTAGAAAACTAATTATGATGACAGTAATAAAATGCAGTCTGCGGGAATCTGATGGGTAGGGTAATTACATTGCACTCGATTTATTCTCTCGACTGAAGGTCGAGTTATATGAAAAAAAATTAGTTTGTGACTATGTTTGTATATTTGTAATAATGTGTCAAGGCACGTGTACACATGTATTGGGGCCATTTATAAAGTTTGACCGACGGTAATAGGTGCCAACGAATCTGAAGCTGAAGTCGGTTTATCAATTAGAGCTTTTATTGACCAGACACTGTACCAATTAGAAACGAAATTTTTTATTTATCCACTTTCAGACTTTTTGATTTAACTTTACGAATGGTTATAAAGCTCAAATAATAGAGCCTTAATTTAGATTTTAGAAGGTTTTTGCATTACTTGTTTTTTGGACCTAAATCAGTGCTATCTGAAATAAAATGCTTTTGTTTGAATATTTGGAGAAACACGACTCGTCACATGACCGCTTATATTTGAAGAAAATAGGGATTTCTCTATAAAGTTCAATTAAAGGTCTTCGGGATCGATGAATCCATTTCGGCAATCGGTTTCTCGAAATGTCGAGCTAGATCTTTTCTTCAGGGAAAAACTTCTTTATGGAAAAAAAGACTTTTATCTCGGTCGAGGGGAGTCATGCAAAATAAAATAAAACGCAACTGTATGTTCGCATATTTGCACGAACATTCATAGTGACGTATCCATATTCCCTCGTTGAAGTTTAGAGAAAATATTTGATGTGCTCGCTGAATTGTACTATCCTTCATCGATTAGACTTTTCCAGGTCTGTAGCTTAGCTAAAAAAATGGTTTATCTATTGTAGGTATCATCCAATCAAGATTTTCTTTGCCGAAAGTCAGTCAATCAGGTGTTTTTGTTACCCAGCTGTTGTACTCAGAAATCAGAGAGACTAAGCGTGAGTGAGCCACGAAGGAGTGCCAACGAACGACCTGTCGTTTATCTTAATGATTTCTCGAAGTTTGCATCAGGGCAGATGTACAGACAATATCGCAAGTATGTCGGAAAAGGTGCACTAAAGTTGTGGTATTGAGAAATTTCAACAAAATGCTGACTTTCTAGAAAGATCAATACATGACAACAATAATAATCAGTTAGCAATGAAATCTGTGCTGTGCAGTTTTATGGAGAATTCTATTGGTGTAAATTCGATTATTTTTCTGAAGAAGTTAAACTTGAATTCGATAGATTGAAAATAAGCAGTCCGTTGGTGGAGTCCTCAATAGGTTTACCTTTGGAACTCGCATATATTTTCTTTAGCTTCATTATACTAATAAGAAATACGCAAAATGAAGAATTTTTAGTAAGCAATAATTGCTTCCCAAACATAGTTAACTATCGTAGGGCCACTATCTCATTTATTTCTGCATTTCAGACACAAATGTCTTGTTTTGATTGACTATCGTTCTATATTATATTTGTTTTGTGGTAATTGATTACTTCAGCGATGGAACCGATCAATACCAGTAAAACCGGTCGAAACCGACCTACCAGTCGACAGGGGCAGCGAAGTAGGGGGATGTACACCTCCCAATAATTGAAAATTTTCAACTTTTTTCAGCGGCAGCAGTAGATTTTCTGTATGTTTTGCTCTTTTTTGCGAAATTTAGTTGCCAATACTCCCTTTACACCCTCCCAAAACTCCTCAGCCCCCTCCCCCACAATCATAGATCATTAGTATGGTTTCTGCCGGTCGAAACCGGTCTAACGGTAAATAACGATCTATCAGTAATACAATTAGGACCAATTACAACGGTGCGCTAATCTTAGTGATAAAAGCAGGAAAGTGGAAAACTTAGCCCGGACCGGACTGGTCGGTAGCCGATACCGGTTCGATCTTTGGATTGCTTATTTATTTTCTATTTGTATTCTGTCTACTGACTGGAAGTCATATGAAATAAAATGAGTGTGTTTGCTTGCCAGCTTGCGTGTATGTTTACAAGCACGTATTAAGTCTCGCGCTCACATATTAAGTATATAGAAACTTTATATACAGTTCGATCAAAGGTAATCGGGGTCGGAGAATCCAAATGTGTAATCGGTTTTTCGGAATTTTGAGTTTGATGTTTTTAGTAAAGGAAAGACTTTTTACACGAAAAGTTTATTCTCTTTCGTCAGGCGAAAGGGTTATATAGAAGACGCCAAATTAGTTTGTATGTATGGATGCAAGGATGTTTATTTGCAGTCATGTTGTACAGTCACGTGCGTCCTTGTATTTTTGAAGCATTGGATAAACTATATGAAACGGCTATGATTTGGACAGT